AGCAGACCCCCGTTTTCCCCCCACCACCTTTCTCTCTCACTCACAGCATTCCACACTAATGGCTTGCACGCTGGCTGTCAGAAACAGAGCTTTGAAAGGGCATTTTTGCATTCCTACAGGAGTTCAAAACAATGACAAGAGTGGCCACTTGACATAAGGGGATTATGGGACATTTCCAGAGGCCGATCAGAGCACAGTAACCCAACACCTCGTTCACACTGACGCCCGTGCATTGTAGCCAAGGTGCAGCAAACGTTATTCCTCTCGCCGAGGTGGAGTGCCAGCAGCGCTGTACTGATAGCAGAGACAGAGCGCTCTACGTGCCTTGCCAGTGTGGACAGGGAGTGAGCTAGAGCACCCGGGGCTCCTTTATTGCGCTGTAACTGGCAAGTGTAGCCAAGCCCTAAGTTCCCCATCTGTACAATAGGGATAATAACACTTCCCTATCTATCGGGATGTTGTGATGATAGACCTATTAAAGACTGTGAAGTGCTAAGGTACTAGAGTAACAAGGGCCATATAAAAACATGAGAGAGAGAGTAGCTGCACCAGTTCAAATCCCAAATGTAGACAAGGAAAGCTAGAATTTACACCAGTGAAAATCAGAGGTTTTTTTTTATCTACACATGGGATTTGCATTAGTGCAGCTATCCAGTTGCTGAATTGGGGCAAATCCCAAATACAGACAAGGTCTTAATCTCTGTCAGCTACCAATTAAACAATAATCCACAGATTGTGGGCTTTATCGCCTAATAATTGCTACAAGACTGGAAGTTAAGAGCTTATAAGGTACCTTGTCCAGCACCGGATCCTCCAGTGGAAGAGGCTGGTAGCATGAATATGGAATGTGGCAAAGAATTTAGAGAAGTTAAGATGCGATCTACACAGTTTTTGTAAAAATTTAACTATATTGGTAAATCAGTGCAACCCCAAGTATGAATTCAGTTATACTGGTATGAAAGTGCTTATATCAGTAGAGTTTATTTGGGTATATCAATACAAGCACCTGTATACTGGTATAACTGAATCTGCACTAGCAGGCTGTACTGTGATATTATATTGGTTTCTAAGTCAATATTGTTAAATCGGTACAAAAACTGTGTGTAAACGAGCCCTTTGTTTTTGTTTGTCTTTTGTTTAATTTTATTTTTTAAAACTGCAAGAGAATAATTCAGCTGGCGAAGAAAACAGCTAAATGTTCCAATGCAATGACCGAATAGAGCTTTTTACATAAATCAGTGCCTGCTGGAAATGGAAGCTAATTTCTCTGGTGAGATTTCATAGCATTCCAGTGAATAACAATGTTTTAAAAATTAGTGTATAATTACATTATAAATCTAATATGCTTCACCTTAAGGCTGCCTTGGTTATAATCTTAGGCTACGTCCTCACTGGGGGGGTGTCGATTTAAGATACGCAAATTCAGCTACGCGAATAGCGTAGCTGAATTCGACGTATCGGAGCCGACTTCCCCCGCTGTGAGGACGGTGGCAAATCGACCTCCGCGGCTCCCCCGTCGACGGCGCTTACTCCTACCTCCCCTGGTGGAGTACAAGCATCGATTCGGGGATCGAATGTCGCGTCCCAACGAGACGCGATAATTCGATCCCCGAGAGATCGATTTCTACCTGCCGATTCAGGCAGGCAGTGTAGACGTAGCCTTAATGCTGTCATGGTGACTTCTCAGTTCTCTCTGGCTACTTGCTCCTCTTATATCTCATAGAATTAAACACTGCTTTGGTTGCTCCAGGGTTGGTGGTGAGGAGGGGGAAGGCAGATAAGGAAGGGAAGTTGGAGCAACCAAGTACATGGTATAGATGTTGTTCGAAGGTTGTTTCCACTGCAATACTAGAAGACTCAGTGGCATTTTAAAAAAAAGCGGGGGGGCAGAGTGGAGTTTTTTGTTTTAAAATGCAGCCTTCAGCTGAAGCAGTAACAAGGTAACAGTCCTGAAATGTGGTAAGGCTAGCAATGTGCATGTGTCTGTTTTCTACAGACCCTTTCTCTCCTCTACTTTTGTTGTATAGCTACTTTTGTTGAATAGAGTATAGCTCCAAAGGTTACAGTTATAAAGAGGATCAATTGCACTTCTAGTTGAAGTGACAGTGGCTTATGTAATTAAAGTAGTTTAAACATTTCCATTCTAAATCTCATTTTTCAAGCCCTAGACCAAGGGTTCTCAAACTGGGGGTCGGGACCCCTCAGGGGGTCGCGAGGTTATTACATGGGGGGTCACAAGCTGTCAGCCTCCATCCCAAACCCTGCTTTGCATCCAGCATTTATAATGGTGTTAAATATATAAAAAGGTGTTTTTAATTTATAAGGGGACTCACACTCAGAGGCTTGCTATTTGAAAGGGGTCACCAGTACAAAAGTTTGAGAACCACTGCCCTAGACTCTAGCCAAAGAAAAATTGTTCATAGTTCCAGGATAAACAGTTAAGTCATCTCTGAGAAAAAAGGCCAGAGCCAAAATAATACTTTTCCCATTAGAAAACATTTTTGTAACGTTTTTCGAACAGGTTCAGTGCTGAAGTGTGTAGCAATAGAAAATTCAAATTTGGCATTGAAATGGTCCATAAGAAGGAGAGAGATTTCTCAATGTCCTGATGAAAATCCCTTTTGATTTGGCTGAGATCTGAGGCTCTGAAAATTGCAGCTCATAGAGGCATAGTAGCACCATCAAACAATCACAGGCAGTTTTAATAACTGTCTCCCTTCATTTTGAATAGAAGATCTCCACTGCACATATAGCTTGTTTAGGACTGAGGCAAAATGGATGAATCCTGCCTCAGTAACTGTTCTCATCTGGAATGCAGGGGGAGGCATCTATAGCTGCTCTCCTCTGGATTTTTGTGTTGTAGGGTGATACTGCACCTTAAAGTAATTGAGCAGTAGATGGGGTAGGGCTGATAGCTGTTTATTAGTTGAGTCTGTGAACCAAACATAGGCATGGGAAGTAGGGGTGCGGGGAGTGCTGCAGCACCCCCAGGTTTTGCGCCCAGGGTCCCAGCCCTGCGACCCTGCTGCTCGGGGTCCCGGCCGCCGGCCCCACTACTATCTGGGGTCTCTGCTGCCGGCCCTGGGTCCTGCTTGGCCGCCGGTCCCGCTCAGCCTCTGGCACTGCGCCCAGGGGCTCGCTGCCAGCCCAGGGTGTGATTCAGCTGCAGAGTCCTGGCAACTGGCCCTGCGTGTGGGGTCCTGGCCACCAGGGGACTGGGGGCTCTGCTGACAGCCCCAGGGTCCCGCCCAGCCATTGGCCCCGCATGCGGGATCCCAGCCACCACGTCTCCCATCCCGTTCCCAGAGCCATGGTCCTACTCCCGGCTCTAGGGAGTGGTTAGGAACATGGACAGAAGTAAGGGGGTGCAGCTCAGCACCCCCACTCCAAAAAGTGTTCCAGCGCCATTGGAACTAAATCCATGTTGGGTCCACAAAGTAGCTCCATCCCCTATGAAAAACATTACTGAATGTAAGTAGAGCTCTGCAAATCTGCGGATATCTGCTTTATATCCACGGATTGTTTTTGTGGATCGCAGATCAGATGTAGATACAAATTTTGTATCCACGCAGGGCTCTATATATGAGTAATATGTGGTGTTTTGAATAGCCCATGCCACTTTACAAATGGATGTATTACAAGTGCATGAGTACAGTAAATGTAAGTGAATTCACTTGTTGAGTATAATTCTCAACTTGTAATGGTCTAAATGTGGACAAAAAATCAAAATGAGGGATGAGAAGAAAAAAGTAGATGAAGTGTAATACAGTCAGTGTGATGATGATGTGTTTGCAAGGCAATAGCTTACATTAATACACATGGGACAGGCACCTGGATATCAAGGTGATGGATGTACTAGAATTAGCTGGGGTAGATAAAAGAGGAGACTAAGGGGGGATATGATAGAGGTAGATAAAATCATGAGTGGTGTGGAGAAAGTGTATAAGGAAAAGTTATTTACTTGTTCCCATAATATAAGAACTAGGGGCCACCAAATGAAATTAATGGGCAGCAGGTTTAAAACAAATAAAAGGAAGTTCTTCTTCACACAGCGCACAGTCAACTTGTGCAACTCCTTGCCTGAGGAGGTTGTGAAGGCTAGGACTATAACAGGGTTTAAAAGAGAACTAGATAAATTCATGGAGGTTAAGCCCATTAATGGCTATTAGCCAGGATGGGTAAGGAATGGTGTCCCTAGCCTCTGTTTGTCAGAGGGTGGAGATGGATGGCAGGAGAGAGATCACTTGGTCATTGCCTCTTAGGTTCACTCCCTCTGGGGCACCTGGCATTGGCCACTGTTGGTAGACCGGATCCTGGGCTGTATGGACCTTTGGTCTAACCCAGTATGGCCGTTCTTATGTTCTTAGATAAAGACCCCACCAGGTATGGCTGGAGGGGTATAAGTAAATATAAATCTGACATGAGAAATCTTTCATTAAGAAGGAAAGTTGAGATGTGGCAGTTGCTGTGTGGTAATAGCTTGTGTGAAATTACATGGGACTCTGGACAGAAGGGAAGTGGGAATGATTTCAAGCACCGTATCAAGCATTTTTCCATTCCCATGGAAAGGTAATTCAATTTTAATATTTATTAATTACCCAAGGCAAATATTATTTGGAACATAAACACACTCAGATCACAAGACTAGTGGTAGTATGAGGGCTGACAAAATAATTGCCCGCAACAAAATCTCCAACAGAAAATACAGATAGTCTCTAAATGAAGTCTTGAATGTTGATATAAAAATGCTTTGTCTCAAAGAATGCCAGCTACTGCATTATCAGACACTTAGCTTCAGATCAAATAGAGTGTAACCCAAACAATTCACTTCCTTTTTTAGTATTAAGCAAGTAGATACTGTTAGTATTAAAATTAGGACTTTGCTTTTACTCTTGTATTACAGAAACTGAGACTAAAGCATTTTTGCACCTGTATTCAAGGGGAATTAAAACCTTTAGGAACAGTCTTCACTATTTCCATTGTCAGTGAAAGGGGGAACTGATATCCCGGAAACCAAAGTCTTCTGATTGCTGCTCTTTCTGGAAAGTGATGTAGCCGGTGTGGGAGGAACATCTGGTGTGTGAATGCCATTAACTGCTTTTCTGGTGTTTCTGCACACAAGCGAGGTATTCCTGCACATCATCTGGGGAACCAAGAATCAATGGGACTCTCTGGTGAATAGATTCAGGCTTCACATCCAGCACTGGCTCAGACCCTGTGGTAGCCATCCCACCAGCCTGCTCAATGATGAAAGCCATGGGGTTGCACTCATAAAGGAGACGGAGCTGTAAGAAAAGACAAAATACAGGACGGTTTGGGGGGGAAATAACAACAAAGCACTTTGCAGAACTTAAGTGTTGACCTTCCCTTTATGACCTTGGCAAGCTTCTGCAAATCTCCCACTAGAGAAGCTACCACAGTTCCATTGGTGTTAGCAATGATGGGAGCTCTGGTATAGACCATCTGCCAGTGTTTTAACCACTGTGTTCTTCAACTCTCTCTCTTTTACAGCCTCTCTTTATTCAACCTTCTTTCAGGGTTTCTTTAACAATAACATCCCCACCATAAGCATCATATTGCGTCATGTTCCCATCTCCCATTGTGAGATTTTTAAAACTTTCTCTTCTGGCTTCCATTGCAGCTTCTGTAGAAGAATGCAGTGACATTGCACTGAAGTATCAATATTCCAGTGGAATTTTAGCATTTCAGAGCTGAGGTACACAGTAGGTGGGACAGCACTGGCAATAGGTTTTGCCGGACTAACGAGGTTCTTGAGGCTGCATGCAGCAGTGAAGTGGTTAAACTAGCAAAGGTGACACCTTCCCACAGGCCTTATTTGTTATCTTGGAGCTTGGACAGTTGTGTTTGCTCAGGATATTTTGGAGTCTGAAACCTGATGCTGACATTCTCAAGTGTCAGGAGTTGATTGCAGCACTGCACAACTGCGGCTAAACCTGTTACAGTGAGCTGAGTTCATGCAGATAGTAACTTTTAAGTAACTATGGTTATTTTAGAAATGTATTTTCAGTTTAGTGTGAAGGAAATTAGGCCCCCAATACCTATTAATGTTAACAGAAATTTCAGACGTCATCATAAAAATGTTCCAGTTTGAAAGCAAGTACATTTGGGTCATATGTCAAAAAACTCTGGGGTCCTGGAACTAGGGGTCTAGGGATGTGGCAGCACCCCTTGGCTTGAAGTGGTTTCCATCATATAGAAGGTTTACAGTTTGGCTCAATGGCTCTCAGCATCCCCACTATACAAATATTTTCAGTGGCATTGGAACAACTACAGTATGTAAAGGGGAATGAAAGGCTGGTGATTTAACAAGGTTCAGTTAATGGACTTGGTTTTGGGAGATCTGCTTGGATAAAACACTTATGTCTTCCTTCTGTGCCTCACGTCTCCATCTGCAAACTAGAGATAATAATACTTTCCTATCTTACAGGCTTGTTAGGTATTGAGATACAATGGTGTGGCATGGAAAAGCCTATACAAATGTAAAGCACCCTCCCAAAAACAGAATGTGCTTTGGAGAAATGGAAGTGTGTCATGGAATACAACCAACCCTGTAATAATTTCGGTGATCACACTGTTTGCAATAAAACCAGGGATTTCATACACTTAAGCAATGTACATAGCATTAACTTTATTTCTTACTTATCTTTAAAGTTTGTTTCAATGCCACTCTAAGTATACAATGTCCAGCTAACAGGTAACATGGGGGCAATGGCCTTTGTAGTCTCTTTATGGCATGGTCAATTCAAAAAAGAAAACCTGCCACAAAACAGCAGTGGTGTCACTGCAGAATCACGTGGGGTTTGTCACTGTTTTGGTGTGACTGTAAACCTTAAGAATGCCATTCATCTATCTCAACAGCTGGAAAACTAGATGGGACCAGCAGTGATTGGGATAGAACCAGTAGAAAGGGGAAGTAGAGCAGGCACTAGCTGGGGGGATGCAGGAGTGTCCCCCGCCCCCCCCGAGTCTCCATTCATTAGCCAGCCAGGGGAGGAAGGAAACTGATTGGTCCTTTGCTCTCCCCTTTCATTAATTTTAAATCCTAGGCCAGGCCTTGAGGAGCCTCTTTTTGCTCTATTTCAGCAACCCTTGTTACCACCACCCCCTGTACCCATAGTTTAGGAGCTGTGTCTTGCAGATGCTGCAGGTCTGACCCATTGCCTGTTTTGGGGTCAAAAATTTTTTTTCTTACAATTGTGGCCAAATTGGCATAGTCCTGTTTTGGGGGTTTTGTTTATGTTTTTCCTTCCTCACAGCATCCTGGAGGCACAGTTAGGCTAAATAGGAATAGGATTTAATAATATGTGGTAGTATTTGGTAGGGATGTTCGTTTATTGCAACTTGTGGCTGGTTTCCAGTCTAATTAAAAGGAATGGCTCTGGGAATTTGCTGATGGGCCTTGTGCTCACGGGATAGACCAGGACCTTGTGTCCTACGCAGGCTGAAGTCCTCCCGTTTTGGTAGCCTTTGTTGCCTTCACAAGGGCATGGAGGAGGTGGGTGGTAGGATTCAGAAGAGCAAGCTGAGTCTACCCTGAGTGTTGGGTTATATGGTAGAGGTCTTTAACCCTGCCCTGGAACTACATACAGGCAGTTAAGTAAGAGTCTGGGTGACAGGGCAGGTAGTTCCCCTCCCTTGTGTTGGGTTTAATAAAGTTGTGGGCCTTCTGCTTAAAATCCATCCCTGTGTCTGTCCTCATTCATCACCATGTCCGGGTCAAAAGCATACTTCTTGCCTTTGTTCAGAAAGCTGACTGCATCCAAGCCTCCCTCCTTTAAATGCATTAACGTTTTGTAATTCATAAGAGCATTATGAACATCAGATCCACAAAAATATGATTTGGTTAACATTTCCAGTTTAAAAACAGCATCTGCAAATAGGCTGATACTGTTTGTTTCAATATGAGAGACAAAGATTAACTCTCGTATATATTGAGCACTTGACACTCTTGTTTTTATCTTGACCTGTAGGGAGTGGCCTTTGTGCTATACTAGCTTGTTCATTTAGCATGCTCATCATGCGCTTCAGCTCCAAAATCCATGGAGTAAATCTATCCCAGGTATAACTCCACATATTTGCTCTCTCAGCACTCTGCCTATGCATTGGGGATGTTCACAGGGTAAAGGAGGATGACTGGGTAACAGTTGCCGTGGTACTGTCTTTCAAACCGGAACAGCCGTGACTTTGGATGAATTGATCTTTATGGACAAACCTACTACATGCGGCAGACACCGGTCTAGAAAAAGTGGTGGTGATACTTGACCTCAAATCACAAGCCCTTTTCACTCTTAACTGAAAGTGACAGCCCCTTATTTTGTTTGTAGAATAGCCATTAAAAGCAACCTCCTCTGCCCCCCAATATTAAAAACCAAATTATTGGAAGTGGACTGAGAAAACAGTGCCTCCAAAATTCTCCTTCCAGCACCTAAATATATCACCTTCACAGTACACCCTGGCTTCCTGAATGAAAGTCTTGAGCTAATTGTCACCTTTCCCTCTCCTCCATGGCAACACAATCCAAGTCAGCCATTAGCTACTAGAGGCTAATTTACACGTGTAAACCCTTTAATTCCATATTTGTTCCTTGCTTTCTCTAAAGCTGTGAAATGAAATCACCTTGAAACTGCTATTGCCTTCAAAAAAGGAGCACAAAGTAAAATTTTAGCATTTTTTTTTTTTTTTTTTTTTTTTTTTTTAATAGTATCTGGCACAGCTGTTCACATAAAATGAAGATCCCATGTACACATACTCTTTGCCCAGAGGTTTAGAGCACAGTATGTATTTCACAATGTATGGTGTATGCTGCCTCTCGGTATATGCCTGCCAGTACCTTCAGGATGTCCCTTTTTTCCTGTCTCTTATCTCATTCACTTCACAGCTGCTTTTATATAATTTCCAAATATAAAGACTTAACCTGAAAAAGAAAATCTGTAAAGCTGGTTCTCTCACACACACGACCATCCCACAAATTCTGTAATAAATGGCCAGTCCCTTCCAGACGGCCTTTAACACTCAAACATTCTGAGCAAATATGTCCCAGGAACCATGTTACCAGGAATGGCTTAAAAACAAATCTTGAAAATCATTGCATAATGAGGGGATTCCTGCACTGGCAACATGGTGTGAATCCAGCTATTTCCCTACTTTCCTCTTTTTCAACAAGGACTTATTGATTGGCCTCTTCAGATGAGTTTTTAGTCCCCTGTCCCAAGGTGGTTTGTATAGTTGGATAGATAATCATCATGATGGCAGCTTTGCTAGTTCTGTGGGACAAAATATCTTTGTCCACACTGGTCAAGGAAACAGTGCTTGCTAGCTCAGCTGTATTTAAACATGATTTCTGGTAGCAGTGTTCTTCAGTAAGGACAAGGCCGCAGAGTCAGTACAGCAGACCCAGTCTATGTACCGCGAGACTCAGGCCTTGTCTATATGGTGGTGTAATGCACTTTATGAGGGTGATATATCTAAAACGCACTAATGTGTTGCACATTAACTGGTCTGTGTAAACATTGGTGGTGCACACTAAAGATTCCCTAGTGCTTTTTAATGTAGTACTGTTTCAAATAGCACTACATTAAAGTGAATCAGCAGAATCTATATGGACCAATTACTGTGCAAGAGGTTAGTGTGCTTTAAAAATCATACCCCTGCCATTACTCCACCTCGTAGACAAGTCCTAAGTCCTACACTATTTTGAATACTTTCCCAGAGGACCCATTGTGATGTTTCACTCTAGTGGTTGGCTCCAGTTACTATAACTGCTTGATCCTCACTACCAAGTAAAAAAACTATTTTTAGGTCAAATGGTAGAGGCCTGTATGTTCTGTGCTGGAGATTCCAGGTTCAATCCCCATTGGAGACTGTGAATTAAAAGTTGGCTCCACTGAAGGATGTGTGCATAGTCTGTAATGCAATGATTGGTTTAAAAACACAAAAATAAATGGGATGACTCTGAAAGGTCAGAAGTATGTTAGATGGGACCACTGTTGAGTTGGGCCAAATCTAATTTGTAAAAACTTTGACCTTTGTGTCCCTTAATATACTCCCAAACCAGCTCAAGAAAAGCTATATTTAAGCCACTATGCATAAATTATAACCATTCTGTCACACACTCTGGAAAAGCAGTGGAGTAGGTACAGTAAGTTCAGAAGACAAACAGTTTACCTTTCCCTTAGGACTCTTCTGGTTAGCTGGGTACATGAATATCCCACCATACATCAGGGTGCGATGAACATCAGCCACCATCGAGCCCACATATCTAGAGCCATAGGGGGCACTGCCATCCTGTAAAACAGATGGAGACCTTGAAGCTAAAGCTGTTATATCTGCGGATACCAGTCAGCTCTGTGTTCTTGGGGAACCAGGGTGTAGTATCTAGCCTGTCTGACTCATGAAAGACAACCCCCCCCCCCCCCCACACACACACCAGACTCTGCTTGAACCAAAACCGATCAGAGAAAAGGCTTGCAGAGAGCAGTGAAGGGCATTGGGAGATGCACCTAGACCCCTCCTGACAAGGGTGACAAGATTAAGACATCTCTATTTGCATACAGAATGGAGAGCAGAGACAACTCCCCTAGCCTCATCTGCATGAAAGATGAGACAGGGATTAGCATACAGAATGAAGAACAGAGAACCGCACTGAACTCTGGGACCAGAAAAGCAGGGAAGCACTGCATCATGGGAATCTCTGCTCCAGATGTTAATGAACCTACGCCTGCCCAAACCTGCTCAGCAGTTATCAGGCCAATGCTAGTAATGAATCCTTGATTGATATCCAAAATACTGAAGCAGTCTAGTTGCATTGTGAGCTCCCTGGAAGAAAACACCACCCATAACCAAGAGTGATCAGCTCCTATTGTCTAGCCTAAAGAAAATCCTTGAGTCATTAGTTTACCCATAAACAAATCTAGTGTTCTCCCTTGAACCATTGTTGTTTCTCTACAAAAAAACCCCCCTACCTATGTTCAAGTAAGTGTTCTGATGCTTAGATTCAAACTATGCATCAGTTCCACTGGGACTCCATCTTCTCCTGACTGATCGTGCTGGGGGCTCTGCCTGTCTCCAGTACTCAGGACCCTGAGCTACCATCATCACCTGGGAACCCTGGCCAGTTCAAGCCTCATGGAGTGGGTGAAATCCCCTTCTCTCTCTCTCTCTCTCTCTCTCTCTCTTTCTGTGTTTTTCCTTTCTACCTTAGGTATTAACTTTTAATAATGTAACTGTTATGTTGGTTTAGCCCTCCTTGTGTAGTTATCACTATTATTCAATAAATAACTTTTATGGTTAAGCTGGTTGCTTCTCTCTCTTGCTGAACTTGACTCTTTTTTGTGTTTTTAGCTTCCCCCATTTACTCTACAGCAACGGTTCTTTTACCTAAGCTTAAGACCCCTGCAGCGCCCAAAATACTGTGGGGTTTGCTCATCAAGTAGGTTATTACCAGTACAATTGTGATGTGAGAGTGGGGATAGGGACGGGCTGAATCTGGGACACGTAAGGGTGGCAGCTTGAAAGTGCTGATTGACCCGTTCCGCTCAGACTTGCTCTGTTTGTGTGGGTGTGTTCATCCGGTTCTGGGGCTGGAGGAATCCAGCCCTAGGGAACCTAGGTCTGCAGGATAGCTCCATTGGGAGGGGACTTGCATAAGGGAGAAGTAGAGCTCCATATGAAAACACACGTGAGACAAGCAGTACATTGATAGAATTACAGAATTCCCCCCTCCCCCCAGAAGAGTAACCCAAATAAATGAGCATACCCCAAAGTAACAGGCAAAACTGGTAACACTGCCAGGCTGGGTAGCTGGCAAAACTGCAATGTATCATTGCCCTCTTCATTTTGTTACAAGTCCGAAATCAAAGTTTGCTTAAATCCCTGACCACTTACTGGACACACTAAATGTTAGCAGGCCTATAGTTTGACACACCCTTTCTCAAAAGGATAGAGTCTCTTATAAAATGTAGTAATGTCCATGCAACCCCAAAGTAGTTGCAGCAGTTTTTAAACTCTCCCTGGGCAGTATGAGCCACTCATGGTAACTTTGTGGCATCATATGTGCGGGCAATTTGAGTACATGAGACCCTGATACCATCTTTCCAACTTCCCTGCTTGCTCTGTCTTGAAAGCCAACACGGACTGAGACTGCTGATAACCTTGCTTCCTCATGTGATCAGAAAAATGAGTGTAGTCAGGTGCTTCCAGGGATGGAGATGCAGGAAGAGCAGAGCAAGGGGGATCTATCCTTGTGCTACTCTCTGAGGATTCTTGTTGTTTTGCTCCCAAATAGGTGCTATGATTTTAGGATTGTTGCAGACTTATTTTGGAGATTATTTGAGAGTATGGTTTTGTTTGCTTTTAGCTTTTTGGAAGGCACAGAAAATGTTTATCACAGAAAATGTCATTTTTGGGAGAGCAGTAAGAAAATGTATGCCTATCAAACTTGACAGTGTCCATTTAAAATCTGGGGGACATGTGGTCCTTGCATGCATCGCCTCTGATCCTCTGCCTCTATCAGTATACACCTTCCAACTTCTGCAACAAAGGAGGCAGGGGTTTTACAGACAAATCTCCTTCATTGCACAATCCTTATTCATCCCCAGAGCCAGGTCCAACCTGTGCACTGAATGCGGTTAGGGGTCCTGTTGTTAAAAATAGTATGTGATCAAGTAATTTAAAGACTATATCACAATCCATAAGCACAAGGGAGCCAAATTCTGCATAGGCAGCCTTAAAAGAACAGGAAATGCCAGGATTCTGTTCTAACTTTTGAGTGCTTGACTTTGCAACCTTAATAATGTCCTTTTAAGAAAAAGAATTTTTCTGTGCGTATTATGACATAGAGGACCACATTCCACTAGTGTGTTTGAGTTATCTGAATTATGTGATGATCATGAGTACAGTATATGGGAATAGGCAGGCCAGCTGGTAATCCTGCTTCCTCTATCAGGGTTTGGTTGTTTCTTACCATGATAGAAACATAACTGATACAGACACAGCTGAATGCATGATCATGCTACAAATAATAGAAAATAGAAACTGCTTCATTTTAGTGCAGTTGTCACCTGCACCACAAGGACCTGGGAAACAGACAAAAGCAAACCTTTGACTTCCCTTTAGGAACAAGACACTAGCAGGTGTACATTCAGTATTCCCTTTAGTTTTCAAGTTTTACTTCTTGTTTGATCCCTTATGATACAGTCTGGCATTCTCACAGCTGCAACTGAATATCTCATATGTTTCTCTTTCAGATGAGAAAGCTAATGTATGCTGCATGATGGCTGGAACAATGCCCAGATTTCCCTCTCAAACAAAGATAAGACATGAATGCCAGTGAAATACTTTTTCCTCTGATTAGACTCTCAGAAATGCCTAATTTGTATGTGCATCTGGAGAGCATTTGATATTGGCTCAGTGGGTCCTAATGAGAGAGAGAGAGAGAGAGATTTCCAAGATCCCTGCAGCATATGCATGGCCACTGAGTACCACCACCCCCAGAACTGATGCGATATTTTCAACAGTGGGGTGGCGGAAGCAGGCATCCGTGCATGCCAGTATCATGCTCCATGCAGCTCAGTGTGTGTTCCAAGAGGCAGGAGTGCTGGCTACTGTGCCTCACATAAAACTGGATGCCAAGTCCCCCACCCAAATTGCTGCTCTGACATGATGCTGCCATGGGCTATGAGCCACACCAAGCATCAAACCATCACTCACACAGATGCCCACTTCTGCCTCCCTGTTGGAAAAATGGTGGTATTAGCTAATTTTGCTATTTCCAAGCAGTCTGTGAAATCATGATTTTCACAGGGTCCTATTTACGAGTCTCTTATGCTTAAACCAAATGGATTTAAATGGTTCAAAACATGAAGGTCGTGTAGTATTTTCCCACAGTATTACATCAGCTTTCTCCTCAACCCATGCACATCTACTCATCTGTGTGGCACCTGTTTTCTTCTACAGAGGTAGTGTTAGATGCATAGCTAGAAAGAAGATCTCCTATGAAGGGAGACATAGCTCTGGCTTAAAGTAAAATTTGGTTTCCCTAGCTATCTTCTTATGTACAAAACTCGGTTCCTCCATAACACTGCCCATAGTGGAGTGCATGTTAGAATCAGCATACTCCTTTATACACACTACAGGAAGCTCTTCAGGTGGCAGCTGCTATTCAAGCTTGAGCAGCAGACCAGAGTTTTTGTGGTGGTTAACAAGAGATTTAGGTTTACTCTGGCCAGTGGGGGCCGCGATCGGCCGAACCTGCCGCGTCAGCAGGTAAATAAAACTGGTCCGGCCCGCCAGGGTGCTTACCCTGGCGAGCCGCGTGCCGAACGTTGCCGACCCCTGCTCTGGACTCTTCTCCCTCCCACCATCCCCGCACCGTTGCCATGGATAGTAGTCACATTCCAGAAGAGAGGGATTGGTCTAGGGCCTTTGCATTTGACTTTGAAGCAAGAAGTGTGCCCTTCTAAACAAAGGTGAGATGCTGTTGTGGAACTGATAAGAGAAAAGAGGTAATAGAGATCAATAAATATAAGGGACAGGAAAATGAACAGTAATTGAAATAATTAGTTAACTAACTTAGTTACTAATATGGCATAGCAAAGAATAAGAACATGCACAGAGGCAAATATGAAGTCCTTTTTGAAGCAGGGTTCTATGTTTCATTTAGGAATCTTTGAGGAAACAGTGGGGAATTTTCCTTCAGCCTCCTCCCCTGCCTCCAACTTGGAATTGCCCAGAAAGTTCATTTTTATCTTAGTCTTTGATTTTGTATCTGCAAATAACCGTGAGTGCATTTTTTTTTTGGCATCTAGCTGTTGTGACAGACCCAGACCAGTGGGGTACAGGAGTCTGGTAGAGGGCAAATATACTGGTCACTGGATGAGTAGTTTTCTGTTCCCTGAGTGACCAGAGCAGGGGCTGCACTAGAGTAATCAGGAACCTGCTAGAACCAGTTAAGGCAGGCAGGCTAATTAGGACATCTGGAGCCAATTAAGAAGAAGCTGCTAGAATCAATTAAGGCAGGCTAATCAGGGCACCTGGGTTTTAAAAGGAGCTCACTTCAGTTTGTGGTGTGAGTGTGAGGAGCTGGGAGCAAGAGGCACAAGGAGCTGAGAGTGAGAGGGTGTGCTGCTGGAGGACTGAGGAGCACAAGCGTTATCAGACACCAGGAGGAAGGTCCTGTGGTGAGAATAAGGAAGGTGTTTGGAGGAGGCCATGGGGAAGTAGCCCAGGGAGTTGTAGCTGTCATGCCGCTGTTACAGGAGGCACTATAGACAGCTGCAGTCCACAGGGCCCTGGGCTGGAACCCGGAGTAGAGGGCGGGCCCGGGTTCCCCCCAAACCTCCCAATTGACGTGGACTGTGGGTTCTTCCAGAGGGGAAGGTCTCTGGGCTGTTCCCCAACCCACATGGTGAATCTCTGAGACAAGAAAATCCGCCAATAAGCGCAGGACCCACCAAGATAGAGGAGGAACTTGAGCCTGCAAATCAGGTTATTAGACAGTGTGACAAAGTAGCAAGATGTCTAAAAGCCTTTGAATTTATGCCTGAGAAATTGCACCTACAATTATTCGCATGTGCAAAATTGCACGCTGCTTTTCTGAATTAGGCCCTACATCTTGTTTGCTTCAACTTCAAACTAATGCAGCCCAAAAAGATTGTACGGGCAGAAGCTGCTTGTTTTTTTCCCTTGTGTTATTTTTTTTGGAGGCTCTCTGGAGCCCAAACCCTGCAGCAGGGATGAAGAAAGCCCTCTCTTCGAGTGGAAGTGATGGCACCATAATGGCTTGTCCTTTCCTGAGGAACTATTGGTCATGCTGAACTGCCCCTAGGTTTTCTGATGTGGACTAAATATTCAATAATGACTGGGCTGAAATCTTTTATAGGACCTTCCCCAGAAGATGTGAGTAGTGACTGCATTAACACAGTATTACCTTTTAAAGTTAAAAAAATTCCCGCTGCTGACTAGATGTTTTAGTTCAGAAACACTTCCAACAGCCGGTTTGCAACAATAGCACAGAGCAAGGTCTAAACAATATGTTTTTGTAAATGAAGTTTGAACTCCTGCAGGATTTGAGTCATATGATAGAACCGTGTGACAAGTTACAGGTACTCCACAAAGGTATTGACAGAGTTCTGGTGAAATGTCATTGGATTGCACTGTTTGATGTTTTTCTTTCACCCTTTGAAATTGAAATGTATGAAACATAATGATTTTCCTTTTGGCTAGCTCTGCTCCTTGAACAAACAGTTTACACTTTTTTCAACAGTCAGGTGGCTTTATAAAATGTAGATTACGTTCTGATCTGGGGGATTGAAGGATTCATATATAAAGAAGCAATTTTCAGGAAGCAAGAAGGCTGTAAACTGGGTTCCACTTCCCTCAAAACTAGACTAAACCCCTCACTTCTCTGTTTCAAATAAAACCACATAAGCAGACGCACAGCTTTCTAATACAACATATCTCATAGTAACAACTTAAAGCAATAAAGCAGAGTTCTTGGGCAGACGCAGAGCAAAACTGTACCCATTTTGTTCAGTGTAGCAAGATGTAAGTTTACAGCCTACCAAGAAGTCCTCACAGAAATATGACCTGCAACCTTATCTAAAGATGTGATCCCATCAGACTTGACAAACTAAGCAGCATCAGTTTGTGCCAGTACTTGGACAGGCGCTCTCCAAGCAAAACATATGGTGGTATAGCAAGTAGGCTCTTGTGCTACTGTGCCATTACTGAACCAGTGCCTCAGTATAGTGCTCTGGGGAAGTTTGCTACTGGATGCACTGTCTTTTAGGTGAGACATAAATCCGATATCTTTTTTCGCAAGAGTAGGGTTAATTCTAGCATCCTAACGAAATTCAAACTTGAGTAATTATAGTCTACCACATTTTGAAGTGACTTGTTGGACCTACACAGTCACATTTTCAAAGAACTTTTCAAAACTGCACAGGCAAAATGTGTGCATGTACGTGTTCATACTCACAAAGGGCTCAGTCATGCCTTATTAGGCACTGATCCATGCTGAAGGCATTGCAGATGCGGAGTTCCAGGCGGCAGCAGAATGTAGAGGGTAGCGTGCCCTCAGCTATACCTGTTCAGGTGGTACAATGTACGCCCCCTATGGGGGAAGGGTGCATGGGCACGAGTCCACCTCTTTGTCTTTTGGGGTTGTATTGTGCCCCATGAGGCATTAGGAGGGAGCAGTCTGCACTTTGGGAAGCATTGGATTTGCAGCTGTACCCTGCTGCTGCACAAAGGTGCAACTGTGGGGGAGGATTTTTACACCCCGCCCTTCAATGCAACCTACTGAGCAGTAGTGAGAAATCTAGCCCAAAATGGATAATTGTGCATGTTATTGATTGAGGTAGTATTCAAATATATTTGAAAATAGGTGCATGTCCAAATTTTGTATGCATAATTTCAGAGGTTCTTTAAAACTCTGGCTCTTATTATCTAGCACATCTTCCTCCAAACTATTACAGAATGCCGATGAGTTTGGCTACCATATAGGTTGAAGTAATAAAGGATTTTCAGAGTAGTGGAAGCCAAAGTACTTTAGCCATGTAGCCAGAACATACCAGGTTGTAGATAATGTTGACAAGGTCAAGGAGTTTAATTCAGCAAAACAATCAAACCTATCCTCCTCTTTGAGCCGTACTTTGCTCAAAGCAGCATGAGCCCTTGCTGCATTAGCTGATTACAAAGCTGTTATTTTCTCACCTCAGGGAATTTCTTCCTTTGTAAATATTCGGTCATCGCAGGATCAAAGTACTTGGCATAACCCTCATTGATACTGTAGATCTTCCCTTTCTTCTTGATTTTCACATCTTTATTCACCAGAACAAATTCACCAAGGGCCTACAGAAGAATGAGGTGCACCAATTACTAGCAGGCAGTGGGATAGCTAAAGGAAAGTTTGAAAGACTTTAGCACAACGTGGTCCTTTAATCACTATTCATTTATATGACTTGTCATTGTTTCAAACCGATCCAAGCTGGAAAGCTGCTTTAGGTACAGGAAGATTTGCCATATCTTCAATGTGAGCAAAAATAATCTCAGAAATAATTGTCATAAAATGAATACCAGTCCAGTATTGTTAACCCCAAATGCATTAAAAAATGAGTCAGACCTGAAAAGGTCATGAGACTGGCATCAAGATCATGAGATTTTTTTTTTAATTGATTTTTGGGGTTGTCTTTTGATTTTTTTTTTTTTAACTGCCCCTGCGCACCCTCACTCTGTGTGTGTGTGTGTGTGTGTGTGTGTGTGTGTGTGTGTGTGTGTGTCAATGAGAGTGTTGCTAACATCCCAAATATATTGAGTAGGCTGACCTTGGCCACTGCTGCATGAGATCTGCCTAATGATTCGGAGCTTCCAGCTTCTTCCCAAACCTGAAAATGCTAATTAATTAATTCAGTGGCCTCCCTCAGCACTCACATCAATTCTGTCCCCAGTCTGTCTGCTTGGTATAATCTCTTCAGTAAGTTACTTTTAGAGCTTAGGTATATTGGCCTTCACTGAAGTCAATGCACTAAGATCATGGAGCCAAGATTTCACCCATCGATTAAATAAAACCTTTATATTGTTACCTATCTTGTGCTGACTTTCCAAATGAGCCATCTCCTTTCTCCTTCTCAAGCTCCCTGGACAATGCTGTCTGGGCTTCTGGTGTCTGATTTTGAGAAGCAGTCTGCAGGTTTATGGGCACGTTTTTTTTATTTGCAATATTTGAGTATGCAAGTCAAAGCACTTAAAATAAAGCTACCTAACCTGCAGATGCAGTCAGGAAGTTAGGGGTATAAGTGTGTATGAATTATACCCATAATTAATATTTGCATTTGCTGAATTAAAAGCTAAACTGAGGCCCTTTAAAAAAAAAAAAAAAAAAAAAAGAGGGTGGGGCCCTTAATTGGGGGCAAAGGCACTGATGAGTTTTCTTAAACATTTCCCAGTATAGGGCTGTGATGTAGTCTTAAGATGAATGCACAGGGGCAAGGTCTCAATTTCTTCCCAAAACGTGGTTTTGTATTACCAAGTACCAGTAGGACAAGGATGGATTAAAACAGGACCTGGTCAAAAGGGAGAATGCCACAAATAATATTCTCTAGACCAGATTGGAATGAGAAAATAAGTAAAGCCTAGCATATGAAATACTAAAAGGCAAAAAGAATGTATATCGTAATTAACATCTTGTATATACCGGATCTAGCATGAAGCAGTCCACTCCTTGCCCGGTAGAAAGAGCCACCAGCGTAGCACTGCCATACAAGGCATAGCCTGCTGCAACAATATTTCGTCCTGGCTGCAAGGCATCCTTTTCAGAAGGCTCCTCTTCTGTTGTCTGAGGAAAGAATTATCACAATATTGAAGGTTGAGATCTTAATGGAAAACAATAAAAGCAGAACTCAAATTTAAATGAAAAACTGTTAAAATAACGTCCTCTAGGGTTGCCAGGTGTCCGGTTTTCGACCAGAACGCCCAGTCAAAAAGGGACCCTGGCGGCTCCGGTCAGCACCACCGACTGGGCCATTAAAAGTCGAGTCGGTGACACAGGAGGGGCCTGGGGCTAAGGTAGGCTCCCAAGTTCCACGCAGCTCCCGGAAGCAGTTGCCAATTTCCCTAGTACGCACCTCTCCACAACAGCAAGCTTTGTTGTTTATCATTGGTTTTGCTTGCTGTGGTTTTTAAATCAGTTTTCAGTCCTCTCGGCCTTATTTATAAACCACCATACACATTTACGGCATTATATAAATAACAATGTGAGCATTCCTATTCAAGCCATATAAAATGCTTTACTGTTTTTACAAACATTAATATTAAGCACCCTATGTACAGGGTACTATTTACTCTTCTTTAGAGTAATATCTTCTTTAGAGATCTGTAAGCAACATGTGAGTTAAATTCATAGATGGTATTAAACTGGCAGGAACTGCAAATGTCCATGAGGACAGAGACATAATTCAAAAGGACCTAAAGAGAGAGCAGAAAACAGCAGAAAAAAATGCAAGATGATATATCAAGCTGGGCAATGACTATTCAAATGTTCTTATTCAATGAAAAGGAGAAACTTGAGAAGCCATAATGCTGAAAAAGACCTAAGGGTGATAGGGAACAACAAATTAGCATGAATTCATTATGCCATGTGACAGCAAGATAGACCAGTAGAATTTTGGGCTGTATTCACAGAAACGTCATATCAAGGAGAAGAGAGGGGGTGTTTGACATAGTCCTTCTCTGTAAGACTGTATGTAAAATTGCATTTATCTCTAGGTACCACATTGACAGAAATATATTTACAGACTAGAGGGAGTTCAGAGAAAAGCAACAAAAGTTATCGGGGCTGGAGGGCCTGACTTAAGAGAAAAGACTGAAAGAGAGAAATATTTACAGCTTGGCTAGGAAATGACAGAGGTAGGGACATAAGTCTATGAATGTTTTGAAGGGTGTTCAAATGGATACAAAAGCAGTAATTGTATTAAATTATTAAAGGGAAAATTTGCACTAAACGCTAGAAAAACTTCTTAATAGACGTATTAGACTTTGGATTAGTCTTCCTAGGGAAGTGATGGAGGCCCCATTGCTTGGGAGATTTAAAAGTACACTGGACAAAACATTACAAGCTATACTTTAGTAGGACACACCAGTATTCTGGCAGGAAGGCAGAGTAGCTGATATAATAATTTTCCCCCAGTCTCTGACATCTACCTTTTCTGACTCTGTGATAAATTCTGAGAATTGTTATTCTCTATGCTCATTCAGGGTGAAATAGTGCCATTGACTTCACTGGGGCCAGGATTTCACCCTTGATTTTTGGCCTGTTTGCCAAAAAAGTTTGTCAATTGTGGTGGCTTTTTTTGTGATGACACCTGTTTAGTAGGAACTTGAATGAGACCTTTAGTCACAGTCCTGAGGTCCCTGTTTAGCTTTTACTCATTTCTGACTCACGCAAACAAACTCCCATGGATTGGAATTGGATTTCATTAGTTTGAGTAGAAACTGAATAACAACTTAAGGATTTCGCCCTAGCTAGGGTTGGTCAAAATTTTACTATTTAAAATTGTTTTTCAATGGAAAATAGGGGTTTTGTCTGTAACAGGGCCACCTGTCCCTTTAAGGGCCAGTTAGCCCAGCCAGTTAGCCCAGCCCTACCTGTACAGGGTGTGAGACTTAAAAGAGGAAGAGGAAGTAGGGAGTGAGTTCCCTGAGGAAGGCTGCCAGAAGTCCATGGAGAGGGGGAAGCTGGATGGATGGATGGCTAGACCAGCTGAGGAAAAGTGCGGGTGGTGGGGGGTGTCTCCTGTGGCTAGCCAGATATGGGGGAAGGAGCTGAGCTTAAGCTAGGAATAGCCAAAAGAATGATTAAAGGATTAGAAAGCATGCCTTACAGTGATGGACTTGAGCTCAATCTATTTATTTTAACAAAGAGAAGGGTAAGGGGTGACTTGATCACAGTCTATAAGTATCTACATGGAGAACAAATATCTGTTAATGGGCTCTTCAGTCTCACAGAGAAAGGAATTACATGCTCCAATGGCTGGAAGTTGAAGTTAGACAAATTCAGACTGGAAATAAGGTGCAAATTTTTAATGGTGAGAGTAATTAAGCACTTGGACAATTTACTGAGAGTCATGGTGGATTCTCCATCACTGACAATTTTTAGATCAAAATTGGATGTTTTTCCTAAAAGATCTGCTGTACAACTCATTTTAGGGAAGTTCTATGGCCTATGTTATGCCAGAGGTCAGACTAGATGATCACAGTGGTCCCTTCTGGCCTTGAAATCTGTGAAACTGGCTGAGGGCTATAGTCTGCCAGAGGGTCTTGGTAGGAGGATAGATCTGACCTGGACGACTGGGTTGATTGGGGCCCAAGAGCAGGCAGTTAGGTAGTGAGATAGGCAGTTGCCACTGGGAGCCTGCCAGTAAGGAAGGAGGCTGAAGGCCCAGAGAAGCTGAAGACTCTTTTGTTTTGATGTTATTTTTGGACTTGGAATTAGGGACTCTGTTAGCCTGGAAGGAATTGAATGCTTTATAGTGGGTTGGCTGGAAGGCCAACCTGCTTCTACAGTAGGAGTAGACCGAAGATCATTTTTGGGAAACTGAGGCAGAAGTGCCTCAACACCAGGTCTTACCGAAGGGACATTCCAGGATAGTGCGTCTGCTTTCTATGGAGATTTTGGACTTTGTTGAAAAACAAAGCTCCCCAAACCTGAAAAGCTTGTGCCCTATGATGCACTGTGGTGGCTGAACAAGAGGGGAGACCACTGTGCGTCAGAGGTGATGTAGTTTATCCAGGGAGCCCAACCAATAGCAAAGAAAGGAGGCATGAAGCACTCAAACGACAACTCTCATGAGAACCAGGGCAGTATTTTCTAATCAAAATTTTTGGTTTTCAGCTAAAAGTTTTTGACCAAAAACTTGGAATTTGGCTGAAAATCTTCAGGTTTTTTTTTTTTTTTTTTTTTTTGCCATTCCCCGCACTGCCTCATTTTCTAACCAGTTCTACACTGGTGAAATATAGCAACTGTTTAACAATATGTAGCAAGATGGCAACTATTTACAGAAAGAAATTAAATCCCCTTAATTGTTTGTGTGGTGGTGGGTTATGGGGTTTTTTTGGAAGGTGGATTCTTCTTAAATAAGAACAGACAGAATTAGCTACATGGCATATTATTCTCAATACCGAGACACAGCACCTTAATGGTTCCTGAGGACCTAAGACATCGTGTATGTTGTAATTTCCTGTGAATGCATTCATAGGAAATTACATGTAGTCACATATTATGGACCCATGATAAAGAATTATTTACCCCATTTGGTATGGTATAACTAATTATGATTCAGTGCCGAGCAGCTCATTCAGAAAGGTTACAGTGTACATAATGAATGCAAATTAATAAGAGTGCACATTTTAGATCCTTAATACTGATTATGTGCTGCTAACTCTCTCCTAAAGAATCTTTTTCAAAAGCAGCTAGCTTGCCATGAACAGCATGTTTTTTTTATGCTTTTATACCTTAAAACCTTCTGTTTTAAAATTGTATGCCTATGGCATGCACACATCTCAACATCAAAGCAATAATTGTCCACTATAGACTACTTACTTGCAAAATTAAATCTAAAAAATACACTTATGTGCAGATTGCAAACAATATTATGAATGCCTAACTTTTCTGTACTCTCCCCCCCCCACACACACTAAAAATGGCCAGATTTGTGTGTGTGTGTGTTTGACCCCAAAAAAGAGGCTTCTCATTCAGACCTTCTTAGACCCTGGTGTTTATGTAAAGTGAATGTAAATAAATCTTGTATGGAAGACTGTTTTCAAATACAGTATATTTATCTGAGATGATTGTTGCAGACTCATCACTAACGAATGCTTCCTCTCCCCCGCACCCCTAATATTCCTGGGTGAGAAACTAAACAATGATGGGCTATTCTGAGAAAGCAAAGGAACTTCTCCCTAGGGAAATGGACGCTGGCCAGAATTCAGCTTGTTTTTCAACTATTGTTCATGTCTGTGCTCTGAACAACCAAAGGGGGAAAGAAAGTTCAGAGTCAAACACACTTCCACAAAGAAATGCAGATCTGTTCAAAGGTAAAAATAAAACGCTGGAAACGATGAGGTTATTTCATTGGCTTTTTAAGTCTGTGGAATAGTTCTGCCCTAGTGAAGTATAATAAAAAGTGAACCAGTGAATTAAAACAGACAGACGGCAGAAGCCTGATAACAACCTTTGAGTATTTTCCTTCAACAATATTTTGGCTATGGTATAGGGGATGTCTTAGCATAGGCTTCAAAATATCTGACTTCATAGAATCAAAGGTTTAAACTTTGGAAAAATCAGTTCAGAACTTCATTGTTGCAAGGTAGATGAAATCAGTTCCATGAGGTTTTAATGTCTCTTTCAGAATACATTTAAAAATTTTATTAAGATGATGTTAAAAATAAATTGTGAACAGAGTTTGAGCATAGAAGTTTCTGGTTATCAGGGAATAACATACAGATTATCGAGGGTGCAAAGTTTGGTTTAAGGTAAAGTGGCATGAGGAATACATAATCTGCAATATCCCCGATTGTGGGTAAAAGGTTGATGGGTCAAAGTACAGACATTGAGATATGAGGGTATGAAGTTCATAAAGTGGCTATGTTCGGGTGTGGATAATAATGAGTGGATATGATGATGAGGATGGACTGACCCTCATTTGGTGAGATTTAGTGTTTAGGGAGTTTATGGTTCCAGTTCATATGATCCAACGGAGAAGGTCACTTGGTCCCTTTCTCGTAGTGGGAGAACGATGTCACTCTGGCTCACGCCTCCTGGTACTGTCGGTGGCCGGTGATGTGCTCGATGTAGATGTCCCTGGACCATCGGATGGCGTCTGAGACCATGAGGCGCCGCATGAGACGTGCGTAGCGTCGACTGATCCCGCAGGTCTGCAGCACAGGCTCGTTGCAGGGGTCCCAGGCGCCCAGGGCTCCGACAATCAGGGCATCCATCTGCACCTCATAGCTCTTCGCTCTCAGGGTGTCAGCCAGGGGGGCGTACTTTTCCAGCTTACGAGCTCGGGCTTCGCGAAATGCCGGAGTCCTGTTCTCAAAGGAGACCGTGACTTCGACGAGGATGATCTTTTTCTGGGCCTCGTCGGTGACGACCACGTCAGGTCGTAGCTGGCTGTCGGTACCGGGGATGGTGCAGTTCACAGCGATCTCCCCCAGGTGTGGCGCGATGGCTTTCACCAGGCGGTTCTGGATAGCGTTGTGGCGCAGCTGCCAGGCTCTGGAGTGGGGTTTGCAGCTGCACAGGACGTGGGGCAGGGTCTCGTTGGAGTAGCCACACTTCCTGCAACGCTTGTCTCGGTTCCCGTGGCGGATGGCTCCGTTGAGTGGGACGCAGTTGAGCCGGGCACGGTGGATGAACCGCCAGTTGGCGAAACGGGTGAAGCCTCCCCCGGCGAGGAAGTGGTTGCTGGCGTCCCACTTGCTGGTCAACTCAAAGGCTTTACCCTGGTCCGGTTTACGCTTCAGGGTTTCCACGTCCAGCGAGCGGATGGCGGCCTTCAGAGTCCTCTCCAGCAAGCCCCTGGCCATCGGGGTGACGATGGTGTTGTCGTCGGACCTGATCTGCGGCACCTGGACTCCCAGCTCCTGGCGCTCCTCGCACCACTCCCAGCGGCATCCAATGCGGTTCCCCAGGCGACGTGTGGCATTGCGAGTGAGGGACCACAGTGAAGCGATGTCGCTCCCGTCCCGTCCGAATTCCCCATCCAGGGAGCCACTCAGAAGGTGGCGATGTCTTGGTTGGAGGGGGCTCTGCCGATCCGTTTCTCTGTCGCATCACGCAGGGCGTTCGCCGCAATGTTCCTCACTGTAGCGTCGGGACATGTCAGCAGGCGGAAGGCGTGGGTGATCACCGCGACGTCGCACAGGTCACCCATGCGGGGGGACGTTGGCGCCGCCGTGCCTGTGGGCGATGTAGACCAACTTGCTGCTGGCTCTCTGGGGAAGGAACAGCCACTTCTTCACCAGCTTCCGAATGATCTTGTCTGCCTTGTTGAGGGGCACCTTCGCCACGGCGGATCCCCTTAGGGTGAACGAGATGCGTGGGATCAGGAAGGTGTTCAGGGCGTTTATCTTCTGCCACGGTGCCAGCAGGGAGGCATCAATCTTGGCGGCGTCCTGCAAGATCTCCTGGATGGTGTCCTCGGGTGTCTGCCGGACACGGAACCCTGTTGGCGTGCCCAGGTGCTGGTATGCCTGCCCCTCTGCCAGGGGGATGACGGGCTCACCCTGGATCTGGAACCCCGTTGTCTGCACCAAGTCCCTTTTGCTGCCGTCAATATGCAGAGTTGCGCACTTCTCAGTTCCATGAGGTTTTAATGTCTCTTTCAGAATACACTATACAAACTGAGTTTGAAATTTTTGTCATAAGTGACTTCTCCAAAGCCCAGGAGAGGGGGTTCACTATAAGAGCTGGGATTAGATCTTGAAGAATCCTGGTTCCCAATCTTGCGTTCAGACCACTAAACTATGCCTCTCTTAGTAAAGATCAATAATTAGCATCTGCCCTTTTCCCCCTCTCCTTACTTCTCATGTACCGGGGGAAAATGACATGCACTGTTAAACTGATGGATAGTGAGAGAACTTGACTGGAGATCTTGACAATATTACAAAAAAGGCAGTGGAATGTCACAGGACAGCTGTGGGATGTAGACTCATGCAGGCTCTGTGTGTGTGTGTGTGTGTGTGTGTGTGTGTGTGTGGAGGGGCGGGGAGGAGAAGAGATTAATTAGGCTGCTATGTTTCCCCAAAAATAATAATTTTCAGTTATGCTAAAAAGTGGGTTAAGCCACCACACTCCCAGGAGTTCACATATTACAACAGCATCAGTTATCATCTCTTAACAAACACACTGCTTAACCTACACAACATCTCAACAGGATCTGACAGCTAAGGCCCTGGAAGTCAGTTTTAAAGGCACCTGATCTTTTGACTTAAGCCAGATGATCCGTCCACCTATCTCGGCTTTGCTTCCTTAAAGCTTTTTGAGTTTTGGAAATAATATTCCTGCTGGTGAAAGGAGATTCAAGGGGAAGCAAGAGGACACCACGTAGTAATTTCCTGTTCTAAGTGTAGGAGGTAATCATGGCATCTTGCCTTTAGCCTTTAGGATTCATGTTTTTAAGCATTTCTTTGCAAACATGAGAGCTGTAACCTTGAAAAAGAAAGAGAACTGAGTGTCTCGTGTCATCATATGATTCTGTGAGCTAGGGCATAAAAGCAACAAATATTGCGAGACTTGCAGTAAAATTGTGAGAACTGACATCATTCTAACTGTTGGCAAATGCTGGTGGTTAAATGGCTTCCACTCTGTTGATACTCAGACGTTCTTGTCAACTGTTGGGAATGGGCGACATCCACGCTGATTGAATTGGCCTCGTTAGCACTGACCTCCCATATTTTCATGTGCTGTAATATATATACCTGCCTACTGTATTTCCACTCCATGCATCTGATGAAGTGGGTTTTAGCCCATGAAAGCTTATGTCCAAATAAATTTGTTAGTCTCTAAGGTGCCACAAGGACTACTCATTGTTTTTGCTGATACAGACTAACACTGCTACCACTCTGAAACTTGGCACTCTATGTAGCTCCCTAGTGGGCAAACAAACATTGTGAGTTGTAGAGATAGACAGGAACCCATATTCCAGACCTGAACATTCCTGAACCTTAAGTAAGTTTGGTTCTGCACCTTGACACTGGAGCTCTGGCCCATCTCTACGTCCTGTCCACACCCCACCCCACCCCCAGCACTCACTGGAGTGAGTAAATAGGATTGATGTAGCTAACCAGTTGCCTTATAATTAGAAGCCACTTTTGTTTTAATTACTCTGTGTGATACAGAAGGAAGTGCTGTGGCCTAAGAATTTCATGTGGACAATTAAGTGTGCTTCTTCCTAAAAATTCAGCCCATTATTTGATATAAATATATATTCACTGTATATCTATATCACTGTCTCTTTAAAGCTCTTTTTATTCAAAAGACAGTGGAAAAGAAAGTGAAGTGAGCTGATATATAGGAAATGTTTTGTTCATCAACATACCTTCTTGTAGATAGCAAATATCGTTCCTATTGATGCCAAGCAATCTATATTGGAAGAACCATCTAGTGGATCAAAGCACACCACATATTTACCCTAAAAGGAGAGAGAAGAGGAGTATTAAATATGCTGACTTGCTGTATCTTTTTCCTTTGTTTGGTAAACACCATCTTTTTCTTACAACATTTAGATAACCAAATGCCCTTGACAAATCCAGACCGAATACGGTTGTAGTCTGTATAGCACATCACCGAAATGCAGAGCGAGAAGGGGCTTGCCCAAACAGCTGACAATGTAACTACACAAAAGATCAGGGGTGAGGAAAGGGCATAGTGTGAAAGCAAAGGAACTGAGTGGTTTTGTTCCAGTTTTTGTCTTGGTTTATTGAACAAATTTTGTTTAAATTGTATTGTGAGCTGAATGAATGGATTTATGAAGCGAGGCTTGAGGGTAGGGAGGCAGGGATGGCTGGCTTTTGGTGGAGTGCTAATCGAAATCCTGAACTGTGAATTAGTGTTTTCTTGGGACTTCATGTTAAATTAATGGAGGGGTATCATAATCGAAGATGATTGCCATACATCTGGAAATCACAGAAGTAGCCATTTGTTCTCTTAGGGTAGCTAATTTAGAGCCCAGTTCTGCCAGCCTTGCTCAAACTGAGTAGCACTTTACTCCTTATAGTCCTGGCTAAATATTCATGCAAACAAAAACAGGTCACACCAATGTTCAAAAAAGGGTCCAAACATGGTAGGATTCAATTGGGATCCCAGTTTCACTAACATGCTCACAAATAATTATTCCCCCAGTTTTAATTATGAATCCTTTGCAAGGACTTCCTTACTTATTGAAAACCGCTCACCCACTATAACTAATTATTTAAGCAGTAGAATAATATGCAGATTCTCTGCTATTGCTTAGGAACTTGTGCCTTTTTGCTTTCTTACAGGTAACATAGTCCCTAACCTCTTTTTCAATACTCGGAATAACAGCACCACCTGCTGCTAAATGAGAGAACAGACATATACAGACCCTCTTGTCTTGTGGAGTGATAATGGCATCTTTATTCTCCTCTGAGACTAGGACACAGGTGCCATAGGAGGACTGTAGCATGTTAATAACCAGAGAATTGGATAGCACATCCAGCTTCTTCACTTCATCACCAGTCACGTTCACAGTTCCTGCTATTCCATACCTAAAGAAAGGAGGATGTGTACATGGCAGTGAAAACACTAAGAAACCTCAAAGCAACAAGACAGGCCTGAATTTTGACAGGAACATAATGTTCATGAACATTAAGACTTCGGAAAAGTGATGACCGTGGCTTTTCCCTGCCAATCTCTCACCCTCCACACCTCCCACATACACCAAGTCTTTAAAATATCTCTGTAGATATCCATTCCTGATGGTAAATGAAAATCTGCCCAAGGGAGGAAAAGATTGTGGCTTCAGTTCTGGGCTGTGATCTCTTCATGGCAGTTCAGCCACTATAAAGTCACCTTAACTGACTGACCTCTGAGGAATACCCCAGGCACCAGAATTGCCCTCCTCTATCCTCAAACATTTTATTGCTCTCCTATAAAGCAAATACTTTGTTTTTATAAAGGGGCAGGTGGTTAGTCCTTAAATGGACTATTTTCTCAGATTTTTAAAACTTTTTTTTTTTAAGTGTTTTTCCCTGTTGGAGCCCTTGTTGGGGGAACTGTGCTCCCCCTCCCTCTTTCTCTCCCTCTCCAACTCCCTCAGGACAGCATGATGAGTGTTGTTTTTTTAAATACAGTACTGACCAAGATTTTCAAAATGAAGTAGTGTTCTTGGGGTTACTCAGTTTTTGGGTGCCCAGCTTGCCACCTTAAGGTGCCTTAAGTAGGGCCCCTCCCCCTAAAAGATGCCTAAAATCACTAGTCACTCAAAAATTCTGGCTACTTATTCTTAAACTATGTTTGTCTGGGGAGCCTCACTGTTGACCATGGACCTTAAACATAAGCAAGACTGCAGGGCACACTGTTATAGCTTCCCACAGGAAGATACATGGTTATATTCCTTGTGCACGCAAAGCTGATGAAAGTAACCAGGATGTGCAAAGAATACGGCATCAAGCCCAGAATATTTATTAGGAATTCTTCACTTGCCATCCAAGTGATTTGATCTTGCTCCCATCGCTGAAGTCAGTAGGGTTTGACCAAATGTGCTGCATACTTTGCTTTTTAAAATCAGAATGAGCGCATGTTGCGGTTGGTTTAGACTTCCTTTATAGAAAACAGAAGTAGGCTTAATGTCAAATTTTATATCAGATCCTAGCCATAATTTTAAAGAGATCCCAAATGGCACACAAATTAATCCATTTGGTAATATGCCTTACTAATGTTTTCCACATGCAAGGGCTTCTACTTCATGTAGTGACCCATATATACCACCAGATGGCTCCATTTTGCAGTCAATCAGTGACTGCACTTCAGAAAGAGTTGTTGATTCCTCATGGAAAACTTATAGTTTGACGATTTTCAAAATTTATTTCCCCTTGTTTTTAGGGAAATTTGCTTGAAGACAGGAGTTTTGTTTGTTAAATATCCTTCTGTTCTTGCTGCTGCTTTTGCTACCACAAATAATGTTTGTGATGGCTTCAGTGGTTGCTGTGGAAATTACATCTGGGGCTTGGAGGGGGATTTGGGGGGGGGAGAGGGAGACACACACACGGATTATTTCACTCATCACAGAAATGCATCCACCCTTGAGATGGAATGGAGCAGCTGTTTTAATGTATAGAGTATTGGGATGGGAAGTGATTCCATCAACTCTATGTCCTTCCTTGTGTCTCCTTTGACGCCTTTTCTTTTCCCCCAAGAATATGGGGGCCCGCTGCTGTCACCTCCACTGCCCCAGAGTCCATCACTTTCTCCCTGATGGGTTTTTTTCCTTGCACTGATGCCCTCAAGGAGTGTACTAGAGCCGCACTGGGGCATCTGCCATTGCACAGCAGCGACACCTGGCAATGGAACTGCAGCTATAACAGGATAGGGGGAAGGAGCACAGCCCCTGAGCTCACAGCATAGGATTGGAAGCTATGGGTATGTCTACACTACGGGATTAATTCGAATTTATATAATTTGAATTTTGGAAACCGATTGTATAAAGTCGAATGTATGCGGCCACACTAAGCACATTAATTCGGCGGTGTGCGTCCATGTACCGGGGCTAGCGTCGATTTCTGGAGCATTGCACTGTGGGTAGCTATCCCATAGTTCCTGCAGTCTCCTCCGCCCATTGGAATTCCAGGTTGAGATCCCAATGCCTGATGGGGCCAAAAACATTGTCGCGGGTGGTTCTGGGTATGTCCTCCCCCCTCTCCAGGGAAGCAACGGCAGACAACCGTTTCGCGCCTTTTTCCTGGGTGAACAGTGCAGATGCCATACCACGGCAAGCATGGAGCCCGCTCAGCTCAAGACAGCAGTCATGAACATTGTAAACACCTCGCGCGTTATCGTGCAGTTTATGCTGAACCAGAACCTGCAAAACCAGGCGGCGAGGAGTAGGCTACGGCAGCGCGGCGGCGAGAGTGATGAGGATATGGACATGGAATTCTATCAAACCGCGGGACCCGGTGCTTTGGAGATCATGCTGTTAATGGGGCAGGTTATAGCCATGGAACGCCGATTCTGGGCACAGGAAACAAGCACAGATGGTGGGACCGTATAGTGTTGCAGGTGTGGGACGATTCCCAGTGGCTGTGAAACTTTCACATGCATAAGGGCACTTTCTTGGAACTTTGTGACTTGCTTTCCCCTGCCCTAAAGCGCCAGAATACCAAGATGAGAGCAGCCCTCACAGTTGAGAAGCAAGTGGCGATAGCCCTGTGGAAGCTTGCAATGCCAGACAGCTACCTGTCAGTCGGGAATCAATTTGGAGTGGGCAAATCTACTGTGGGGGCTGCTGTGATGCAAGTAGCCAAAGCAATCACTGAGCTGCTGCTACGAAAGGTAGTGACTCTGGGAAATGTGCAGGTCATAGTGGATGGCTTTGCTGCAGTGGGATTCCCTAACTGTGGTGGGGCGATAGATGGAACCCATATCCCTATCTTGGCACCGGAGCACCAGGGTACCCAGAACATAAACCGCAAGGGGTACTTTTCAATGGTGCTGGAAGCACTTGTGGATCACAAGGGACATTTCACCAACATCAACGTGGGCTGGCCGGGAAGGGTTCATGACGCTCGCGTCTTCAGGAACAGTAATCTGTTTAAACGGCTGCAGCAAGGGACTTACTTCCCGAACCAGAAAATAACCGTTGGGGATGTTGAAATGCCAATAGCTATTCTTGGGGACCCAGCCTACCCCTTAATGCCATGGCTCATGAAGCCATACACAGGCAGCCTGGACAGGAATCAGGAGCTGTTCAATTACAGGCTGAGCAAGTGCAGAATGGTGGTAGAATGTGCATTTGGCCGTTTAAAAGGTCACTGGCGATCGTTACTGACTCGCTCAGACCTCAGCCAAACCAATATCCCCATTGTTATTTCTGCTTGCTGTGTGCTCCACAATCTCTGTGAAAGTAAGGGGGAGACCTTTATGGCGGGGTGGGAGGCTGAGGCAAATCGTCTGGCTGCTGATTACGCGCAGCCAGACACCAGGGCGATTAGAAGAGCACACCAGGAAGCGCTGTGCATCAGAGAAGCTTTGAAAACCAGTTTCATGACTGGCCAGGCTACAGTGTGAAATTTCTGTTTGTTTCTCCTTCATGAAAACCCGCCCCCTTTATTGACTCATTCTCTGTAAGGAACCCACCCTCCCCCTTCCCCCATCTTGCTTTCAAAGGAAATAGTCACTATCATTTAAAAATCATGTATTCTTTATTAATTGATTATAAACATAGGGAGAGAACCGACTGGGTGAGGTTTGGGAAGAGGATAGGAGGGAAGTAAAAGGCCACTGAAAAAATTCAATATAATGACAACCTTTTGGTTGGGCTGTCCACTGGGGTGGAGTGGGAGGGTGCACGGAGCCTCCCCCCCCCCGCGTTCTTACACATCTGGGTGAGGAGGATATGGAACATGGTGAGGGGGGAGGGAGGTTATACAGCGGCTGCAGCGGCAGTCTGTTATCCTGCTGCCGTTCCTGAAGCTCCACCAGACGCCGGAGCATGTCCGTTTGATCATGCAGCAGCCCCAGCGTTGCAGCCTGCCACCTCTCATCTCGAGCATCCCTCATGACCTCACGTTCACTGGCATCTTTCCTAAATTTAGATACTGTGTCCTTCCACTCATTCAAATGAGCTCTTTCATTGCGGGTGCATTCCATTATTTCCGTGAACATCTCGTCTCGCGTCCTCTTTCTCTGCCGCTTATCTGAGATAGCCTTCGGGACGGAGGAGGGAGGCTTGAAAAATTTGCAGCTGCTGGAGGGAGGGCTGGAAAAAAAGGAGAGAAGTTTTTAAAATGATACATTTTGCAGAACAATGCTTATACTCTTTCATGATAAACAACACTATTCACATTACATAGCACATGTGATTTCAGTACAAGGTCGCATTTTCCATCTTAATATTGAGTGCCTGTGGCTTTGGTGTTAGAGATCACAGACGCAGGTCCGGGCAACAGAATTCAGCTTGCATGCGGCCATGGTAAGCCATTGTCTTTCGGCTTCTGCGCCCTCCTTTCCCACATACCAAGCAAAGCCCATTGACTGCTGCGGTTTTCCTGTTAACCTTCAGCAGCAGAAAACAAACTAAACCCCCCCATCCAATTCTCTGGGATGATCGCTTTATCCCTCCCCACACCGCGTGGCTGGTATCAGGGAAGATTCCTGCAGAAACCAAACTAACCCCCCCCCCGCCATGAATTATCTGGGATGATCGCTGTACCCCACCCCCCACCGCGTGGCTGGTAACAGGGAAGATCCCTGCTAGCCAAACGCGAAAAGCTCAGGGCCAATTCCCCCCCTCCCTGTGCTTGGCTAACTGCAGGGAAGGATCTCTTTTCAGCCACAGGCAAACAGCCCAGTAGGAACGGCCACCTCTGTCCCCTTAATTAAATTCCCGTATTTCAACCAGGTTACCATGAGCGATATCACTCTCCTGAGGATTACACAGCGAGATAAAGAACGGATGTTGCTTGAATGCCAGCAAACACCGGGACCATACGCTGCCAGGCTTTGTCATGCAATGATACCAGATTACTTGCTGCAAGCATGGCGTGGTCAAGTGTCCTACCATGGAGGACAGAATAAGGCTGCACTGCCCAGAAACCTTGTGGCAAGGCTTTTGGAGTACCTCCAGGAGAGCTTCATGGAGATGTCCCTGGAGGATTTCCGCTCCATCCCCAGACACGTTAACAGACTTTTCCAGTAGCTGTACTGGCCGCGAATGCATCCCAAGTCCTCAGGGCAAAGTAATAATTAAAAAACGCTTGCTTTTAAACCATGTTTTATATTTTAAAAGGTAAACTCACCTGAGGTCCCTTCCATGGGGTCATGGTCTTGGGTACTGGCTTGGGAGGGTACTTCAGTCAGGCTCAGAAAAAGATCCTGGCTGTTGGGGAGAACGGAGTGCTGGGTGCTCTCCGCAAGCTCGTCGTCGTCCTCCTCCTCCTCCTCTTCCCCGTCCGCAGAATCCTCAGGTGTAGCTGATGAAATTATCACCGCCTCGGAATCCACGGTCAGAGGTGGGGTAGTGGTGGCGGCCCCCCCTCGAACTGCATGCAGCTCGGCGTAGAAGCGGCATGTCCGCGGCTCTGACCCGGAGCGACCGTTTGCCTCCTTTGTTTTTTTGATAGGCTTGTCTGAGCTCCTTGACTTTCACGCGGCACTGATCTGAGTCCCTATTGTGGCCTCTCTCCATCATGCCCTTGGAGATTTTTTTTTTTCAAAAGTTTTGGCATTTCGTCTTTTCGAACGAAGTTCTGCTAGCACTGAATTCTCTCCCCATATAGCGATCAGATCCAGTACCTCCCATACGGTCCATGCTGGTGCTCTTTTTCGATTATCGGCCTGCATGGTTAGCTCAGCTCATCAGCACAGGTATCTGTGGTCACCTGTGCTCTCCACGCTGGGCAAACAGGAAATGAAATTCAAATGTTCGCGGGGCTTTTCCTGTCTACCTGGCCAGTGCATCCGAGTTCAGATTGCTGTCCAGAGCGGTCACAATGGTGCACTGTGGGACAGCTCCCGGAGGCCAATACCATCGAATTGCGGCCACACTAACCCTAATTCGAAATGACAATATCAATTTTGGCGCTACTCCGCTCGTCGGGAAGGAGTACAGAAATCGATTTTAAGAGCCCTTTATTTCAAAATAAATGGCTTCGTTGTTTGGACGGGTGCAGGGTTAATTCGATTTAACGCTGCTAAATCCGAATTAAAGTCATAGTGTAGACCAGGCCTATGATATCACAATGCATTGTTAGTGCCATGCTGAGGATTTCTGTGGAATTAGTTGAGCTCTCAGTTGGAGGGAAGATTGCCACCAACAGAATCCATAGTGCGACTTCCTGCTGCACCTGGAAATATTCAGACTTTACAAAGGACTGACGCTCAGAGAACAAGGGGTTGGAGCAGATAAATTCTTGTGAAACAAAGGTCATGTTTTCATGTGTTTGCCAACAGATGGCCAGACACTAAAGCTAATAAGCAGAGTTCCCTATCTGATTGCTTCACTCTTTGCTTACGTACGTTACCACAGCTGTTGCTCTAAAGCACTTTGTCACTCGCAGCAGCTCTCTCTGTTGGAAAAAGTTGGAGACTCCCCAGTTGAGGGAAGGGAAATAATGACCCATGAAATATAAGTACAGTGATTTCTAAATAGGGTATTTTTAAGTCTTTCATAGTGATATTTCACTATTAAGATTGTTGGGGCATGCTACAACATGCTATTATTCACAGTATGTGGTTTTATTAAATGATTATGTATGACATAAAGATGACTTATTTAGTTGATATAAAGAGAGTGCAGCTCAGTAAGCTCACAATTAGTTGCAGAGCCCAACAAATGACTTCAGCTATGTATCCACTCCAAGATAATCTGCTCAGATTTCACATATGTAATGTATAAGTATTTTATTTTCAAAGAAACAAATGGAATTTGCCTCCTAACTGCCCTCCTGTGTCTTTCAAAATCTTTTCCTTTGTTGGTGAATAGAAAACTTTCAAAAAGTCGGTGTTAACTTTCTAAATATTAAAGAAGCCACGCCATACCCTCTTATTTGGGAGAATTAGAAATGGCAGGCCTATTTAACTTCATTTGTCATTTTAAAAAAAAAAAAAATTTCTAGCCCTTTTTCATGTGAAGATAGCATTGAAAATATAAACGGATGTCAATCCTAGTGATTGATTTACAATTGGTCATTGAAATTTCCTAAAGCTCATGGTTGGTTGTATGACATGACTGATGAGATCAGTGGGATGTATGATTGTTGGATTATTTACTGAAACTTTTGTTTTTTCAAAGAGAGGCCTTTCTTTCTCAATATACTAGATGCTTCAGTTCTGAGGGAGGAATTGTAATGTTGCAACATTAGTCATGTCTTTTTTAGGTTAAGAATAAATTCTGTTTCTTATCTATATATTATTATTTACTATGTATTTTAGGGTTTTAAAAATTGGAATACCACAAAAGTTCAGAATGCAACTTTTCCTTTGTCATGTCAGTGAAAACAGTTTGGCTTCAGTTATTATCAACAAAAGATTGGGGGGGGGGGGAATGGTCTAGTGGTTACAGCACAGGAGAGGTTCAATAAGGACAAGTGCAGAGTCCTGCACTTAGGATGGAAGAATCCCATGCACTGCTACAGACTAGGGACCGAATGGCTAGGCAGCAGTTCTGCAGAGATGGATCTAGGGGTTACAGTGGACGAGAAGCTGGATATGAGTCGACAGTGTGCCCTTGTTGCCAAGAAGGCTAATGGCATTTTGGGCTGTATAAGTAGGGGCATTGCCAGCAGATTGAGGGATGTGATCATTCCCCTCTATTCGATATTGGTGAGGCCTCATCTGGAGTACTGTCCAGTTTTGGGCCCCACACTACAAGGAGGATGTGGAAAAATTGGAAAGAGTCCAGCAGAGGGCAACAAAAATGATTAGGGGGCTGGAGCACATGTCTTATGAGGAGAGGCTGAGGGAACTGGGATTGTATAGTCTCCAGAAGAGAAGAATGAGGGGGGATTTGACAGCTGCTTTCAACTACCTGAAAGGGGGTTCCAAAGAGGATGGATCTAGTCTGTTCTTAGTGGTAGCAGACAGAACAAGGAGTAATGGTCTCAAGTTGCAGTGGGGGAGGTTTAGGTTGGATATTAGGAAAAACGTTTTCATTGGAGGGTGGTGAAGCACTGGACTGGGTTACCTAGGGAGGTGGTGGAATCTCCTTCCTTAGAGGTTTTTAAGGTCAGGCTTGACAAAGCCCTGGCTGAATGATTTAGTTGGGGATTGGTCCTGCTTTGAGCAGGGGGTTGGACTAGATGACCTCCTGAGGTCCCTTCCAACCCTGATATTCTATGAGAGTCAAGGATCTATTTCTGGGTCTGCCACTGACTCACTGTGAGACCTTGGGCAAAGCACCTAACTGCTCTATGAATTATATTTCCCATCTGTAAAATGGGGATAATGATACCTTGCTCACATGGTGCTGTGATGTTAATTCATAGTTTGCAAAGGACATAAAGATTCTTGAATGAGGATGCTGTAGAAATGCAAAGTACTAGAGATTCCTCTGCGATAGAGTATATAGGAATAAACTGCTTAATGGAGTATTCTACTGTCATTATACATGTATAGCCACATCACTAACCCTCGGAATTAAGTGTACACACCATACACATATACAAGAATATATTTAAATTATACAGTTTTATTAGATTTATCTTCCTGCCCCCAGCCTCTACTGACACGTTGCTACTGAAGGACCAGCATCAGTGTCTATTTTGAGCCAATGCATGAAAAACAGGTCAGGTCATTTCAGACCGTTTCAAGGCAATCCTCAGTTCCCATCTTCTAATAGACCAGAAGCCAGACGAGCTGGTTGTGTTTGCCCTTCACATAGGGCCACACACCACTTTCGGGTGACCTTGACACCCGAGGGAGTGGGATACACACAAGAAGGACAGTATATGGCCTTCTCTTAGCACTGCTGAATCATAATATTGTTAGTACTGTAGTAATGGATATGGACATCAGCATTCCCAAGGTAAACCCTGATTTTCCACAGTTCAGACGCTAGCTGTGACAATCTGTTTGGACGTTAGCAGACGATATCTAAATGTGATAGTCTTCAAATTTTCTAAGACTTACAAATACACCAGTTTCACCATTTAAAAAAGATAAGATGAATAGGACAGGAAATAATGGCACTAGGTTTTTGTTTTGCTTTCATTTGACTGTTTTTAAACTGAAATTTTGCAGAACCACAGCTAGTCTCAGGAAACATTTCAGGAACAATTTTAAAATTCTCCATAAACACACACTCCCCCTTCTGGCATGTACATCATTTCCAATATCATTTTGCTAGATTTTGGGGTCAGAATTCATACCTTCAGTTACATGGTTTAAAAGAAGCATATTGAATTTAAAGTGGGTGAATTTTTGAAAAAATTCACAAAACTCTTGCCCTTTCCCCAGTCTTCATGTGGAGGCAAATCCCTCTCCTCCTCCTCCCTTCCCCCATATGTCTAAATAGGACTCACATGTTGGCGAGGCCTGCCTTTCTGACTGCAGAGGAGGTGGCCTTCACGGCAGTCAGCATTGAGTTGAGCAGCTGTGTCAGCTCCCCTGTAGCGCCTTTAACGCGTCGTCCCTTTTCCATAACGTATCGGGTAAGGGTTAACATATCTGTTTCGAAGGGACTTCTGTCTGACATCTCTGCTGGCAAATAAAGTTATCTTTTTAGTTAGAACCAGTTGCTTTCCTGCAACGTTGCTTCTCCTCAGTAGCTGTTGTATTTTAAGGAGACGCTGTTGGCTCGTGTGCTAGACGTGGTTTATTAAAATGTTCTTGAGCCCATGTGATTTAAATGCTTGAAATAGCTGTGTAGTCTGCCTGTTCTGTAGATCTCCCAGGATGCATAAAAGCAGCTTGGGAAAGAGACAACTACTGAAAAACTACCCTCCTCCCCTTCACCACCACATATTTAATCTAGTGATTTGCAAACATAATACTAGTCCTGTTGCGTGGAGAGCAGTGAAAGGTTATTAGTACAGATGTCTTGCTAGCAAGTCAGTTAAGTGCCATTCAGCAGATAGGTAGGGGAACGCTCTGTAACAAAGACAAAACTAGAATTACATCTTGCTCCAGCTGACAGTCTGAAAGATAAATCAGTTCACTTATTTGACAACCTCTTGACAAATTTCAAATGGAGAAGATATGCAACAGCGTTGTTAATACGCTAGTTCCTTATGCAATCGATTCTGCTGCAAATCACACTAAGCACTCTGAATTCGGTACACTAGTGATCTCTTCCAGTACAACACAGACTAGGCAATTTAGCTGCGGGGTCAATAGCCAAGTTTAAGTTTTTGAACTGGAAATTTTGCCCACAATGTTGGGGGCTGGGCAGCAAAGATCAGTGCCATGAGGCACCTGGTATTTGCTGGCTGTCCCACTTTGGTATGCTTCTTCAGCTCCCTGGTTACAAAGGGCCTAGCTTTCAAAGGCATTTAGAGTCATAGTGCTAAAGGCCAGAAGGGGCCATCAAACCATCTAGTTTGACATGTATATCCCACGCCACCACCACCATTACCATTCAGCACTTGCACAATTCCCAGTGAAGTCACTGGAAGTTGCATGGCCTCTCCCTGGGCGCAGGAGGGCTGCAGAGTGCTACACCTCTGAAAAATCACATCTCAAACATGTGTCACTGTTAAAAAGGGGCTAGTACCTAAAGTACCTACCTCATATGGGTAGTGTGAGGCTTAGTTCGTTGTCTCATGGAAACTGTTCTGGCATGCTAAATTATATAACTAGACACTAGCATGCTTAGCATCTACACATTGATTTGCTACAAATTTTCTCTAAAGGTGTCTTATATTCCTTGTTAGCCTGCTGTGATCATGTTCAACTATCATTCTTTCTTAGTCCATGCTAACTTGTAATATTACAGTGCAGTGTAGGTGAAAAGCACTGGTGAATTAAGGCCTGATATATGGCTAAGTAGTTATTCAATAACTTACAAGAGCAAGTTAAACTTTAAGCATTTCTATACACCACAAGTTTGCAGCGATGTCACTAGATTGATTTAAAAATCAATGTTGTTACACCGGTGCAACTTTTCTAATATAGACAGGCACTAACTTGCAACTGCATTACACTCTCAGCATGCTTGGACAGCCTTATGATTGTGAAGCGCTTTAAGATCTGATGAAAAAACACTATATAAGAGCCAAGCAGTAGTATTATTTGTTAGAATACTGCTGTGTGTGGACAGAGAAATGCAAGTGAAATAGGACTGATAGCACAGATGCTCTGTAACCTGATAATTACACATGAGCTGATATTAACATTTTAATTACACATGGTATAGTTTGTCTCAATACAGATAAGATAGTAAGGACACACAGAGTGTAGATGCAAAAAGCACACAGTATGAAAAAGTTAGCCCCAATTGTGAACTTTATTATCCTTTAAAAATCAAAAGCTGACAATGCTACGTGACACCAAGGGGCAAGGGATAGGTGCATGCTGTATCTGGTAGACTTCAGCTCTTGGGATCTTTGTCGTATCTCTAAGGAAGGAGCATATGAAGTGGCAAATTGAGTTACTCAGATGGATCTCCACAAGGTTTGAGTGCAAGCTATCAACTCTGTTACCTCTGTCCTCCAAGATGCTGATAATTTCCAGAATATTTTCTTCTATCTTTCATCTAGCACTATCATGATTTACTTCAAAGCACATGAATCAAAGTATGAGTATCTGTGATATTTTGACAGGTTTCAGAGTGGTAGCTGTGTTAGTCTGTGTCAGCAAAAACAACGAGGAGTCCTTGCGGCACCTTAGAGACTAATAAATTTATTTGGGCATAAGCTTTCGTGGGCTAGAACCCAGTTCATCAGATGCATCGAGTGGAAAATACAGTAGCAGGTGTATATATACATAGTACATGAAAAGATGGGAGTTGCCTTACCAAGTGGGGGGTCAGTCTAACGAGACAATTCAATTAACAGTAGAATACCAAGGGAGGGGAAAAAATCACTTTTGTAGTGGTAATGAGGGTGGCCCATTTCAAATAGTTGACAAGAAGGTGTAACAGTAGGGGAAAATTAGGATGGGAAAACTAGGTTTTCTAATGACCCATCCACTCCCAGTCTTTATTCAGGCCTAATTTGATGGTGTCCAGTTTGCAAATTAATTCCAGTTCTTTAGTTTCACATTGGAGTCTGTTTTTGAAGGTTTTTTGTTGTTGAAGGTTTGCCACTTTTAAATCTTTTATTGAATGACCAGGGAGATTGAAGTGTTCTCCTACTGATTTTTGAATGTTATAATTCCCGATGTCAGATTTGTGTCCATTTATTTCTTTTGCGTAGAGACTGTCTGGTTTGGCCAATGTACATAGCAGAGGGCCATTGCTGGCACACGATGGCATATATCACATTGGTAGATGTGCAGGTGAATGAGCCCCTGATGGTGTGGTTAGGTCCTATGATGGTGGCCCTTGAATAGATATGTGGACAGAGTTGGTACCAGGGTTTGTTGCAGGGTTTGGTTCCTGGGCTAGTGTTTTTGTTGTGTGGTGTGTAGTTGCTGGTGAGTACTTGCTTCAGGTTGGGGGCCTGTCTCCCAAGGTCTGTGAGAGTGAGGGATCATCCTTCAGGATGGGTTGTAGATCCTTAATGATGTGCTGGAGAGGTTTTAGTTGGGGGCTGTAGGTGATGGCTAGTGGCGTTCTGTTACTTTCTTTGTTGGGCCTGTCTTGTAGTAGGTGACTTCTGGGTACCCTTCTGGCTCTGTCAATCTGTGTCTTCACTTCACCAGGTGGGTATTGTAGTTTTAAGAACGCTTGATAGAGATCCTGTAGGTGTGTGTCTCTGTCTGTTGTATCTTAGAGCTTGGCTGCACACAATGGATCGTGTGATCTGGTCTGGATGAAAGCTGGAGGCATGTAGGTAAGTTTAGTGGTTAGTAGGTTTCCGGTATAGGGTGGTGTTTATGTGACCATTGCTTATTAGCACTGTAGTGTCTAGGAAGTGGATCTCCTGTGTGGACTGGTCCAGGCTGAGGTTGATGGTGGGGTGGAAATTGTTGAAATCCTGGTGGAATTCCTCAAGGGCTTCTTTTCCATGGGTCCAGATGATGAAGATGTCATCAATGTAGCGTAAGTAGAGTAGGGGTGTTAGGGGACGAGAGCTGAGGAAGCGTTGTTCTAAGTCAGCCATAAAAATGTTGCATACTGTGGGGCCATGCGGGTACCCATAGCAGTGCCGCTGACTATTGTGATATTTTGGAGCATCTTTTGCCAGGTTGTACGACTTTTCTTTCTTTGAAGAGACTCCATATGAAGAGAAAAACCTAAAATATTTTGTTACTTCAGGAAGAGTGTGATTAAACTATTATACTGCATATTCACAAGGGGACAGAGTTAAAGTTGTACATGCAGCCTTAAGCAGTGATTCTCAACCATTTCCATACTGGAATCCTTCTAACCCTAAACCTCTGTCCTGTCTAGCCAGAATCTTGCTGGGCCCATCCAACCACAGTCCATTTAGCAACACAAGAATGGCAGGATGGTTATGATCCACTTCACCTGTTCCACTTATCCCAGGTTCAGAACCCATGTATCTATATGTCCCCACACTGGAATGGGGATAAAGTTCAGTAAAGAATTCTAATCAAAAATTTGTTTTAGTTGGTTCAAGGGTGTTGTTGAAGCTAATAGAACCATTATTTGAACTTTTCTTTCAGGTGCAAAGTCCATTAAATCTTAAAGCAGGTAATAAATGTCAGTATGCTTTGTATTTATAAAATGAAAGGCAATAAACGAGCACTCATACACCCCTACAACACTGCATTAATTTCCACATATGAGTCTACTTGCAAACTTTGAGATTTATTGTAGACAAGTGGTGGGTTCAGAGTGGAAACAAAGAGGAAGGATCAACTGGTGTTTAAGGCACAAGACCGGGTATCAGGAAATCTGAGTCCTATTCCTGGTTCTGCCAAAGATGTGCAAGGTCACATAGGACAAGGTATTCAAACTGTTTTGGTGGCCAAAATAAGTGTTTAATACTGTGAATGATCAATACTGTTTAATGTGAGGGAGGGGAATAAAACCTCTCAGGTGTGCAATTATGTTCATAAAAATGCTTGAGCGGCCCTTAAGATAGAGGTGCTATAGACATTTAAAATAATTTAAAATATACATAAAGCCTTGTCAAGATCCAGTTTGATAGGATTCTTCTCTTGATTTGCCTGACAATCACTACAAAAGAAGTGGTAATGATTCACATTTCTATTAGGAGGGGGGGCTAGAGCTGCTTCTTAAACATGACACCCCTGGACCCTCTCCTCCCCTCCCCTCCCCCCTCCAAATTTTAAATGTTAGTAGTTTGAGTTACATATATAGGCTGTAATCAGAGCTGATGACCTTTCACCAAATGCCAAAGTTCTTCAATGTCTTAGCAGAAGAGTAGCCAATATGGCAATTGCAGCTAAAGATTTACACTCCAGTGAGAGTAATCTTTTCACTTCCATTCAGTATGAACGGCTAATTCTGCCAATGGATTTATAAGTATCTTGCAGATTTTTCTGTAAATGGTTACAACAAATTTAAAAAGCAATCTAAGTCATGTGAGCTTTCATACTAGCCCTGTATACCTTACAGCTAATACCAACCCCTTAACGTTCAACACTAACTTGTTCAAATGACAGTCTGTATCTCTCTCCATTCCCTCCCCAAAAGAAAATCCCCACTACCTAATCTAAAAACTGAACTGCTATGATTAGGCAGTACTGTCCTTCATTTTATAACCTTTACCTTCTGCCAGGGTGTAGTTTTTAAAAATAGATATGGGCCAGCTAGGAATTCCTGATGTAGTTCAGCATAAGATACAGCTAAGGAAATACT